ACTCTCGAGGGCATCGAGAACGAGGTCCTCTGCTTCATCGTAGAAGTGTTTCGACATATTTACACAGGCTACACGTGAAGGATTATTTCAAAATATCGACATGAATTCGTTTCAATCTTCTTCCAAACATCTAAGAACTATCGTCTTATGGACATCACTCATAATAAGCGTTCCTCTTTACCCCGCCATAGCAAACACCCTCACCCAGAATCGTCCGACACCCCGCGTCTCCCCCGCGTGTTCCTCCCCTTGGCAGTCCTCCTCCGAGTCCCTCCAAGAGCTCAAAGCCCATGTAGCTCACGTCAGTCGGATATCCTACAGTCCCGTCACGAAGCACACGATGGAACCATGGAAACGACGGACATCCCACCGGCCTGCAGCCTCTCACCGGAGAAGTGGTCCGTGCATCCCGGGCTGTTTGCCGTTTTTGCTTTTCCGTGTCCCCTCACCTTGTGTAAGTGGCTTTTCCGTCCCGGTTGTCTCGGCACGCCCAACTTGTGACCTTGCCGCCGCACTGGCTAGGCCACTGAGATGGAAAGGTAACGGCTGGCTGCGTCTGCGGTTCTTGCCACTATGAGGGGTGGGAAAAGGTACCAGAGTATGGAAGAACGGGAATACGGCCATACGGCAGTAGGGAAAAGAAGGCTGGAATGGAGGGTGCGGTGGGCGATCGAGCCCAGTGGACGGACGGAACTGCTAGAGAAGAGGAACCCGGCCTGTTCGTACATGGATATGGTTGCGGGTGTGATCTGGACGGGACTGGTTTGGATGGATGGATGATTAAGATGATAGGCTTTCCAGATCTTTTCTAAAAGAACATCTTATATCAACGCTCACTGGCGGATGAATTAACCAAGTACTTGTCTTGACAGATGTGAATAATCTTATCAAGCGGTGTACTCGCTCAAAGTCAAGCTTCCTTCATTCTTTTTCTCCATACATCTTTGAACACCTGACTTGTTGCTTATCCTCGTCCATCATAACCGCCCAAATCGTGGCGTCCTCTTCAATATGGCTATCCACACGGAAGGAATGATTCCGCGGTCAATCCTTACGTCAGAGAAGCCCACTGTAGAGATCGTGGAGACTGTCAAGCCTATTGAGCTCAAGACCGTCACCGACTTGCTTCTGAAGCGCGTGGACGAGGCACCAGATGTCGATGTCTTGGCCTACCCCGCTACGGCGCGCGGCAGAGACGACTATGTCAACTACACAGCCAAGGACCTCGATCGCTTCGCCGACGAGGCTGCGCGTAGGTATGCACAGGCCGGTCTTCTCCCAGAGGTATGTACCAAAACTCACCGAGGCACCCCTCTCACCGAGCAACCCCCTAGTCCATAAAGAAGGATATGCCAACTAACAACGACCAGAACCCTTCGTCAAACCAAGCAGAGGTTGTTGCCCTCCTAGCAAACTCGGACATCAACTATGTCGTCTCCATGTTCGCCCTCTCAAGAATGGGCTTCGCCGTGCTCTACCTCTCAACACGTCTCTCCCCAGAGGCCTACGCCAACCTCCTTAAGAAGACAACTTGCTGCAGAATCGTCATCTCGGAGCGGTACAGCGACATGGCCTCCCAGATCAACGCCGAGTCACCCATCACCACTTTCAACATCCTTGACAAGGCCGACTACGACCTCCCGACTCCCTCGGGCGACCGATTCCCCGTATTCACGCACCCCGACGCCGGCAAGCGCATCTCCTTCATCGTACACTCATCCGGCTCGACAGGTCTGCCCAAGCCAATCTTTCAGACGCACGCGGCGTGCATCTCAAACTACTCCAGCGGCATTCCCTACCGCGCGTTTTTGACCTTGCCGCTTTTCCACAATCATGGAATCTCGACGCTGTTCCGTGCCATTGTCGCCGGTCACAGGATCGCCATCTACAATGCCAACTTGCCACTTTCTGGAACTACGTTGGTCAAGGCCATGAACGCTACAGAGCCCGGCAGCTTGCACTGCGTGCCCTATGCACTGAAGCTTCTCGCGGAGACGGAGGGAGGTATCGAGGCGTTGCAGAGACTCAAGCTTGTGTTGTACGGCGGCAGCAGTTGCCCCGATGATTTGGGTGATCGACTCGTTGAGGCGGGCGTGTATCTCGTCGGGCACTATGGGGCGTAAGTCATCTCTACTCCCGGCCAGCTTGAATCTTACTGACTTTGACACAGCACCGAGATGGGCCAGCTGATGACCTCGTTCCGCGAGCCCGGGGACAAGTACTGGAACTACATGCGGCCCTTGGCATCAGCCAAGCCGTGGCTGCGCATGATTCCCATCGCAGGCGACGTCCACGAGTGCGTCGTTCTTGACGGTCTTCCGTCAAAAGTCATGTCCAACTCGGACGACCCGGCTCCCAACTCCTACCGCACCCGCGACACTTTTGTTCCTCATCCCACGATCCTAGACGCCTGGAGGTACCTAGGCCGTCTTGACGACCGTGTAACCCTGGTGAACGGCGAGAAGGTCCTGCCCATTCCCTACGAGAACCACATCCGTGAGCACGAGCTCGTCCAAGAAGTCGTCGTCTTCGGCGTCGACAAGTCTATCCCCGGCCTCGTCATCATCCCCAGCGAGAACGCAAAGGGTCTCTCAAAGCCTGACATTCTCAAAACCCTGAGCCCCGTCATCGAAGAAGCCAACGCCCGAGCCGAGGCCTTTGGCCGCGTCTCGCCAGAAATGATTGAAGTGGTAGACATTAGCACAGAGTACCCCCGCACGGACAAGGGCACCGTCATCCGCGCCGCCTTTTACAAGCAATTCGCAGACCTCATCGAGGACGTCTATAGACGCTTCGAGGCGCCCAAAGACGACGTCACCGGTGGCGAGCTGCTCACCCTCGACCTGCCGCAGCTCCAAGACTACCTCCTCAACCTCTTCAGCTCGACGTTGGGCTTCTCCAAGGTCGAAAAGGACACCGACTTCTTCGAGGCCGGCGTCGACAGTCTCCAGGCCAGTACCGCGCGCGGCCATATCCAGCGCGGCGTCGACCTCGGCGGCAAGACCCTGGGCCAGAACGTCGTCTTCGAGTACCCAAACGTCCTTTCCTTGTCCAAGCACGTCTACGCCCTCCGCACAGGCGAATCTGTAGATGCCGAAGACGAGATCGAGGTGATGAAGAAGCTCATTGCAAAATACTCTGACTTCTCCGAGCGCACGCCGGGCAACATCACCCCGGAAGGTGAGACCGTCGTCCTCACAGGCGCGACGGGCTCCCTCGGCGCACACCTCCTCGCCCAAGTCGTCCGCCAACCCTACGTGAAGGCAGTGTACTGCCTCGCACGCGCCGCCTCCGCCGAAGAAGCCGAATCCCGCGTCCTCGCCTCCCTAATCCCCAAGGGCCTCAGCCTCTCCGAAGCAGACAAGGCGAAAGTGCGCTACCTGCCGACGAACCTCGGCCTTCCTGACCTAGGCCTTCCCGCCGACGCCGCCGCCGAGCTCCGCCGGTCCCTGACGACGGTGATCCACTCGGCCTGGGCCGTCAACTTCAACCTTGGCGTCGCGAGCTTCGAGGCGCAGCACATTCGCGGCGTGCACAACCTGCTCAACTTCTGTCTCAGCACCGAAACGGTCGCGCCCGCAAGGTTGTTCTTCTGCTCGTCTATCTCGGCGGCGGCGGGCACGCCTATCCCAGCGAGGGTGAAGGAGACGTACGTTGAGAAACTGGAACACGCGCAGAACATGGGCTATGCCCGGTCCAAGGTCGTTACGGAGCACATCGTCAAGGCTGCGGCGACCAAGACGGGTATGACGGCGAGGGTTCTGAGATTGGGTCAGATTGTGGGCGACTCAGAGGGCGGCGTGTGGAATCAGACGGAGGCTATCCCGTTGATGATTCGCAGCGCAAAGGTCATCAAGGCGCTGCCTGCTCTGGAAGAGGTAAGCTTCTACTCTCACTACATGACGAGAGATCATAAGGAATGAATCAAGTGCTAACCCAGAATCTCCTGCAGGCCCCCTCATGGATGCCAGCCGACAAAATGGCCCTCGCCGTCCTCGAACTCGCGCGCCTCACCGGCCCACGCTGCACGTCCTGCGGCGCACCACCCTCCTCTCCCGACGACGCGGACCTAGACCTCGTATATCAGGTCCAGAACCCGCGCCTGTTCCACTGGACCTTCGACTTCCTGCGAGCCCTCCGCGACGCGGGGCTCGAGTTCCAGATCGTCTCGCAGCGCGAGTGGGTGCGCCGCCTCCGCGAGTCCGACCCGGACCCGGAGCAGAACCCAACGTACAAGCTATTGGGCTTTTTCGAGGACAAGTACGACAACGACAGGCCCGGTCGTCAGGGTCTCGTGTTTGAGACGGAAAGGACGGGCCAGAGGAGCGCTGCTGTCGGGGACGGGTGGGATGTTGTTGGGAGCGGGCTTGTTGAGAGGATGGTGAGGTGGATGGAGACCCAGTGGTGATGTGTGGGGGGTGATATACCATGTGTGGACTCATTATTGGCGTTTGACATATTGTAACAAGGCTTTTGAATTGTAGTGCTGTTTGTCTGGATATCATGAGTATAAGAGAAATTGGAGTTTCTACATTTCGATCAAGTCTGCCCGCGGAGATATTAGCACGATTCTGGTGTTCTATGTCATTACAGATCTTACAATGAGGGGTTAATTGATGTTAGGCATGGAAAGAGTTCGATATTGCAAACTTTGCCCCAAGGAGATGTTCAGGAACGCGGCGGCTGGTCGACAGCCTTGGGAGGAGTTGTGATCTGTGAATTTTCGAGACCAGCCGGTGGAGCAGGACACCTTCTCATAAGCGCAGCCAGTCACAGTGATCCCCTCTCGCAGGAAGGTCTTGGAACGGATTCCCAGCCATTGTGCGCCACGAAGAGCGGTAAGGCGCATGCTACCTAAGGGGATTCGGACATCCGAAAGCCACATCACCAACCTCGAAAGATTCAGAGGTCGTCTCCAATTCCCATCTTCTTCTCGACTTTCTCTCTTACGCAGCATCTTCACCCATAGTAACTATTAGATACCGAAAGATCGAAGAGCCATGCATATACCTAGACTCGTAGCCCTAGGCGCAGTCCTCACGACAGCGGTCAAAGCTTTCACCCCGCTCAATATTACGGCGCTCTCAACCCGCGACGGCTACTCCGTCATCGAATGCTGGCAACTCACCTCCGTCCCCGTCGAAGCCCGCGCGGCTCTCAACTACGCCGTCGGCGGCGACCTGACGCGCGCAGAGTGGTCCATCATACAGCCCAGGACGACGGTGGGAGAGGCCTGGGCGCCGGCTGTACAGTGAGTCCTTTTTCTTCTTGCATTTCATGCCTCTCTCTCTGTGTTTATGTATTGGAGGGATTTCCTTGTTCATGAGACGACCGAGCTTCATTCTCATCTCTTTGTTTTTGTTGAGCTACTCTTCGAAATTTAATGGACAAGGAACAAGGAGGACTCGAAAAGTGCGACCTTACGTCAATCTTTACTCGGTATCGAAAACTCATAACTGACTGGATCCCCGCCAACCTTGTACAGGCTGACAGTCATCCTCAACGGCCTAATCCGCATCACATCGCCAGCACCGCCAAGGAACGCGTCGCAGGCCACGCCGTCACTCTCGCCACCAGGAGGCAGCAGTGACGACGAGGCATCAACACGTCCGGCGCAGAGGACGGCGTACATTCAGCCAGGCACGGTATCCTCGTCGCTCGTCATCGCGGCGGACTTGAAGAACGCGAGCGTGCACGCGGGACACTTTACCGAGTTCCCCGGCGACGAGCCGACGGTGCTGGTGCAGGTGCCGTTTGCCGGGAACGCGGCGCCGGAGCATGTTGTTCTGGGAGAGGGGCCGTGTGAGAGGGGGAGTTGGGGCGCCGCGATGGGCGGTGGCATCTGACCGATGACCACATGTATTGAAAGAAGGACTTGTATTTTTGCTTGTGATAATGGCGTTCACTCGTGTCGTAGAATACTAACAGTTACTATCTGTGACCGTGCATACAGCTTATGATCCGTCCCGAAGTCTTTTCGGACCAGCGGCACGCCTTCTTGAGATGACTGCCTTAGAGCGGGAGAAGTGAGCGCTATCCCCAGGGAACAATGTCATGGCGCGAGGATTAGAGGCTCACGTTGGCCGACAATGAGACCGAGACTGGGACAGGTACGCAGAGAATGTGCAGGAAAACGTAATGGCTCAGGAAGCATGATTTTGGCCTGAGCCTAATATTGGGCACACGAGTGAGGCGACAGGGAAGGGAAGCTCGGATTCGAACTGATTTAGGCTCACGGGTTTTAGGTCCTAGCCATTGGTGCCTTGGTGCTTTACTTGGATCGCCGCTTGGTCGTGTTCGTGGACCGTGTGAGTGATGCATTAACGATGGCAAAAAAGTCATCCGAATTCCCCAGGTCTACAGACGACGGCGCGGCCGTTCAGTACGTGTGCTCTGCTCACTCGGAATTGTGATCGACTTGGCCATGCCGGGACATCCGCTGCTAGTAAACGAGCGTACGACACGTTGACATGAACTTAGAGATGATCACTTCGGATAAGGAGATTCACCATTTGTTTGCGTAATGTTTTGTCCCTCTATCGGTGTCCGGGGCACTTTGGCAATTTGACTGCCAGATATGGGATTAATCGATCATAGTGCAAGAGTGATGGCGCGGGCAGGTGATTCCGTGAAGGTCTTTTGCCTCGGGGACTGGATACAACGGCACGGCTGAGACAATAGCAATGGCCGAGGTCCCTTTCCGCGTCGCAAAGTTCGAACACAGTGGTCGTACTCTTGTGCTGCTGTGGTGTGACGGGGACTGACGGCCAGGCCGTGAATCTGTGTGACTGTGCTATTCAGGGTCGACCGTCGAAGACAGAGGGACACAGCGCGAACGTCCTCTTTCTTTTCCGTACGTCCAGCAGAGAACGCGTGGATGACCGAAGAGCAGACGAAATCACGAAGTGACAGAAATCAAATGCCCAGGCGGCAGCACCAGAACCTCGGGATGTGACAGTTACGTGACACACGTCTCGCAGGCTGTATCCGTAGCCTCCGACAATCTCGCAGCACGGCACGCACGGGTGATCTCGTGGCATGTTTGGCGTAGTAGCGCAGGCTCACTGAAGCATTTCCGTAGGGTAACATTGATGGTCAGCAACCAGAAACGAATTCAATATTCACAGTATAGCCTGTATAGGAAGATCTCGGCAGTGTACGGGAAAGGGAGGGGCCTAAAATTCCACGATTTGCTCATCTATCCGCACTTTATCCTTCTCTTGCCCGCCCCGCACGAGGAGGATAGGGTGCTGACAGCGATCATCCCGGTAGTGGTCCACGGGCGTGCTCGATGAGGCATGCGGACCCGGCTGAGAGCCTTGGAGGGGTGGGATCGGGAGAGGGAGGGGAAAGATTGATCTCATCGGCGGGGGTCGGATGGGGGTCAGATAGGTCAAGTAGGGCAGACTTCGGACTCTGGAGTTTGCTGGAAGAGCAGGGCCAGTTTCTCTGGAATGTGGAAAAAGCAACTCACAGCGGGAGGCATCTCGGCAGCCTGTGATAATGGCGTCGTCAATGTCTTTGCGGTGCGCTGGTGGCACGCAGCCTTGGCAGCCACACGCTGTTGGTAATAGTTTGAATCGCCAGAACACACAGCAGCAGCACAGTAGTTAGTGGCAGGCTCAGCAGCAGGAGGATTCACGACAGCCAGTCGGAAATAGAACGCATGTCTCAAGACGGCAGGGCCAGGCGGCTGCGAAGTTCTGGCTGGCCCGGCCTGGTTCGCGCATGGCCGTTCAAGCCCTGTCCGGCCAGTCCAGTCCCAGTCGCAGTGAGCGTGACCTCGTGGTCTCGAGGATCATTACCAGTTCTGGGACTGGTGGCTTCGTGGAGGAAGTGACTGAAGTCTGGATGGGTGTGTGTGGTCGATCGTAGGTGGCTGTGGTCCCGCGCTGGCGAACCCGTACGGAATTGGAGGGTCGGACGAAGAACGGAATCCAACGACCTGATTCAGATTGTAGATTTGGATTTCCTCGTGTGATAATTGGTGCTGACGGGACCGTTTGGAAACTTTGCAGTTGGTTAATAAGGTTGGTCGGCATGGATATAGCTTCAACGTGCGGTGGCTGAGCAAAGCTGCGTGGGTTCACGGAGGACTCATGCGATGCTCCCATTCGCATTATTGAGGCTGGCCTAAAGGCTTCGCCCTCGTGTGAAGTATCTCTTGTAAGCACTTGGTGAGGATGAGAGCCTGTCGCATCTCAGGCGCGCGAGATAGACGGCAATCTACCCATCCATCCATCAATCGACAATGAGATGGGATGGATGGATGGATGGATTCATGTACGCGAGAAGCGAATCGCTGCCCACGGGGTCGGGTATGTACGATGACCGCTGGGTGACCTCCTCCTGGGTCGGCACGTCAGGTCGCAGCAGGCGGCATACATTCAGGTTGACGCGGTAGGCGATGATTGGGCTGGTGTGAATCAGGGACGATGCGACGGCGTCCAATCCAAGGGTCAATTGACTCCTGGAGTGGTGTGGTAGCAGAAGCCAAAGATGCGTGTGAGTGATGTGTGAGGGTGTGAGTGAATGCGTGTGTGAATGGAGGATGAGTCTGACATGTGAAAAGGAGATCAGGGACTGCCTGTCTCACTCTCAACCACTGAAGCTCAGAGCAGAGCTATCAACTGCGCCGCGAATGACAAGGCCGCTGAATCCTGCAACGGAAATAGCACCCCCGTCCAATAATCTGAGCCTTTGGTAACGTGGTAAGGGGCCTCTCATCCGTCAAGAGGCGCGCTCTCAGAGTCGAGATCAAGCTGGGAATGAATGACGCTTGTGCTAGCTACCGTAGTCTCACACCAGCTTTGCCTCTGCAGCTGCTGCGTGCACTCACTCATGTGACTATTTCCTTGTCATCCCAATGTTCCTCCTCTGTATGGTTCTGAGCAACGGGCATGTTGTTTTGGCTTGTGATACGTGATCCTCGCGATACCACCTCGTCGTCTCGTGAAGGCTACATAGTACCAAAGTAAGAGGTGCTCATATTGCCTTTTACGGAGAGACGCATGATGATGGGGGTGGGTGAAAGACAATCCTCATAATTCATTCGTTCATGCTCACTGGCATCGAACTCACTCGCTTTCATTAAGCATTTAGCATTACAAGCTTTTACCAAAGAGACCAGCCCTAATCAAGCCCTCCTTCGCAGGAGATTTCGCAATATTCTGCCCCTCCTTCACGAAAATCCCCAGGAAAGCAGAGCCAGCCCAAAAGGAGGGGTGAAGGCGCAACACAGTGACACACACACACACACACAACGTTCGACTCATTCTTCCACTCCGCACACACACCACTTGCTCCGCCAAACTCCATGCCTGGACCTTGCCCGGCGCTCTAGCGACATCGGCGGTTGTGCGGGAAGAATCCCAGTGAGGGGCCGCCGTGGGAACTCTAGACTTTCTTGACATGGGGGAGAACCTTGCCGCCCTGCACGACCAGCCCACAGCGTCTCGCCTTGACTCTCTTTTTCAATCGTTCTTGACCGTGAATGCACGCTCATCCAACCCACTCAAAGCCAAGGGAGAGTCAAAACGTCGTACCTGTCACTGTCAAGAGTGAACGAAGCTAGCGGGTGGACCGAAACGTCAGAAGAAACGAAGCGAGACGTTTTGCTGGTTTGATTAATACAAACAAAACATTCATAGTCGCGCCAACCGAGGACTGACGCCCAGCTTTTTCAGCTCTCGGCTCTTTCATTGTTCAGTAACAGCGTTCCTCAAAGAAAAAGAGCCGAAGCTCATGCCGGCCGGGAGTGCCTCGTTCTCAGGTAGAGAAAGGGTACGGTATGCTCACTGACATGACTTGACGAGATTCAAGGCCCGCCATCCCGTTCCCGCCCGTCAATTCACGCAGCAAAGTGAAGCTAGAGAAGCAGCGCCGCCGTCCTACTGTTCTAGTCGCCGCGACTTAAACTCTCGGGCTGCTCTCCGGCCGTCTCAAGCTCCCAGGTCGTCTCTTCAATAGTGTGAAAGAGCTAGCCCTCATTCCATCTCCACGAGCCGTCGAACAGCGCATCAAAGGTGGAGTGATATCAACACCACGTCGCCGGGCCATCCTCGTCTCGAAATGGAGGCTTTTCCGTCAGGCCGCCTTTGAATGCCCTCTTTCAATCACACACACAAACACGCGTTCAGCACACACTCTTTCAGTGACTACAGTTCTCATCTCATCTTCAGTTACTCACTTTTCTCGTATCATTCAATACCCCTCAATCTCATCATATCGATTCTCAACTCTGCCCATCTCATCCCACACGCGTCCACTTGTGCGTCACCGCTACTCCGACTGGGAGAGGCTTGGGAGGATTTAAGCCCCCTCCTCGGAAGTTGTCGAGCTTTTCCTGGAACAACATCAGCGCTTTACGCAATTCAGGCCCTACAACCCTTCTCCTGTGCCAGGGACCCATTCTGCGATCCGCCGCCTCGCATGTGCAGTCTCTCACTTGCACGCAACCACGCGCATGAAGCCCATCATAGGTACATAGCAAAACAGACAATAACTGCAGGCCAACTCTATGGTCCTGAGCTGTTCCTCTTACGGATGAAGGCCGAGTACGGTCTAGAAAAGGGTACCTACACTACACACTACACGAACCATGACACACAAGCACACACCAGGCGCCCCTCTCAGCCTCTCTTAGTCTTCTCTCCTTTCACCCAAAAAGAACATTAGCTGCATGAACAGAGAGGCGCCGCAACGCAACTTGAGACGACAACGTGAAAGATCAACGCGAATCCTCTATCCGTAAAGCGCAACGCCTCCCGCCAGCAGCGGGCGAGAGGGCAAAATTCACTACCACCTGCATGCTGGAAGTGGATATCCTGTGCCTCTGCAAGTCTCTTGTGTTACTGTTTTGCTTCCCAAGTGCCCACCCACTGTGACTCGCCTCCCCCATCTTTATCATCTCCACCGTGTTGCGTCAAGAGGCCTGGAGGGCAACACAACGCCCAGAGGTTCTAGACTCAACTCGACTCCAGTCCGTCGCCGGTGGCTCGCCTTTAACGCTGCTTCTTCTAAACCGTCCAAGTTAGCACTTAGGTACCGCTCTCTCATCTCATCCCAAAGATGCGGTCTTTATCGCTGGGATTATCTCTTAGCGTGTAGCGCATCGCCGGGCGACTACATCATCGTCTCAAGTTTCGAAACTCTGCGACACGAAAGGCCCTTTTCCCTTTTCCTTTCCTGTCCTTTGGCCTCTGCCCCTCCCCCTCTTCTCTGTAGTTGGCGTACAGGCTTCTACCCTCCTCGGTTTTCTCCCGCTCTCTTGTCAAAGGACAAACCTGCGTCTGAAGAAAAGGTCGATCGGGACCTGGTGCCGGTAAAAACTGTGCAAAGGCGCTGCAGACTCGAACTTCTTCGGCCGCTGTTCACTTCTAATTCCCGATATATCACCGTGCCACTTTTATCTGCTCATTCATCTTCGATCCGTGTTTCCCTGCCCAGTCCGCTCACGCAACTTGTCTCTTACACTTGTGCGGTCTTGAGACATGCATATTGAGACAGCCTTGGGACCTCGGAATCTAGAACTTGGAGCTTCTTGACATCGGCGGCTTGTCGTCTCATCAACAAGTTACAACCGCCCTTCGCCCACCTGGCCACCTGCTGCACCTGCAGCCTGTCTACTACCCCCCTCCCGTCCCGCAGCAGCACACGACTTTGGACTTCACACCCCCCCCCCCCCCTCCTCGTCTGATCTTCTGGCCGCCGGCTTGCTCTGCTGCTCTTCAGACCGTTCAGTAAGGACTCAGTAGTGTCCCGTACGCGGTCTCTGCATTACCTCCCTCTCATTCTCTCTGCCCCGTTGATCCCAGTACGGCTACTTGTCGCCCTATAAACCTTCCCAGCCATCTACAAGAATTACATCCCTCGCCCCTTCAAACCGTCTCCGCTGCCAGGCCCAGCACACATTTTCCGACCTTGACAAGACGGGAAAGACATTGGCATTGTTCAATCGTCGCAGTGGGCTTCCCGCATAAACCAACTTTTAACAACAAGCACCACCCCTAACCCACCGACGCCAACGAGAAAGACAAAAAAGCCAATCCGTACCGGGGGATAACCTCGCAGCTCATCCCGGCAGGCATAGCAGCAGCCACATCATCCACCCACGCATAAACGGCGATCAACCCAACCAAACAACTCCAAGCTTCTTTCTCGAGGCGGTGTCTGTACCTACATATTTCCATCCCGCGCCCTCCCTCCACCACCCTCTCTCCGGACGACCCCCCTTCTGCCGTCACCCCACGCTGCAAAGTCCTGGCGGGCAACGAAGAAGAAAGAATATCAACAACAGTCTCAGTATCAGAAGCAAGACTGAGAAGAGAGAGAGGGCTTTGGTCAAACCAGCAGCTGCCAACGCCGCCCGCCTCCATACACTCCATCGATCGATACATCTCACATCCCCCTCCATTCCTCAGCAAGACATCCCAGGTCCCAGCTGCAGCACCACGAGACCCCATCGGCGCCTCACCGCAACATCCTGACCCAATCACGGCCCTCTAGCCCGCCCACGACGACAACCCCCCCTGCCACCCTCGACCGGGGTCTATCAAACCCAGCAGCACCAGGACCTCACGATCACCACACAAAATAGGCCCTGTACCCGTTCTCGATTCGCAATAGTTGCATCGTCCACCTCTGGCCCTGTAAGGACCTGCATCTCCCGCCTTTCAAAACAACAACACTTCCCTTCTCCTCCTGTACTGCGTAACC